TTATTGATTAAAATTATTGTTGTTTTTTTATATATATACCTATTTAATAAAACAATTTACAATCTATATACACAAGAATATAATATGTAGATTTTATCATTTGCAGATCATTAATATTGGTTATAAATGACAGGAGGTTAACATTAATGGTCAGGCATTGAGCAGTGTTTCCCGACCTAGAAGTTTTTAAGTACTAAAGCGTTTTTAGCGTTAGACCGAGATATTTAATTTCGTTTGCTGCTTGAATTGTTTGATGTTTAACGTAACAGTGGTGAGGTGGATCGAGATTTTTAAGTGAAAATATCATTTGGATAGATTTAGATTCGTTTATTTTTATTTTCCACCTGTTCACCCACAGGTTAATTATATTTAAATGGTCTTGAATCATATCAACAGCTATACTTAACGCGTGGTTTTTATGAAAGACGGTTATTAGTGTATCGTTAATATATATATATGTATCTATAAGGATGTATAAAATGTCTTAGGAATATTGTGAATAAATATCGAGTTAAGGCAAGGGGGAAATTTCGTTTTTTTTTAAATACTTTTTTTTTAATTATGTAAACAATTGCTAGATAATATGTATAAATGATTTTATTAACATTTATAAAACTGTTTTTCATTATTTCATAGTGGTTTTAAATCAATTTTTTGTTAATCGTGTTGGTGGAAATAAGTAGGTACTGCCTGTCTTAACACCCCCTCCAATCAAACGTTTTACTATTACAATATTTTATTTTTTGTTGTATTTACGAAATCAATGGAACTGAATGTAATAAATAAAATATTTTACAGGATTAAAACATAACATAGATATTGTCTTAATCTGTTGTCTAATATTTATATAACTATTAAATTATGTATTATTCATATTAAAATGTATAAATAATTTTAATACATTTCGTAATATGGTAAATTTATCGTTTTTAGTCAAATTTTAATAGTTGAGCTTAGTTAAATTATTTAAGACAACAGCTCTGCGAAAAATTGTATTCAGTTCTCGATAGTTTTTTCCAAATTTTTAAAAACTATTGAGAATTTCAAAAAATTACTTGCCTAAAATACTACCAAAAATCAAAAACTAAGAAAATGAATAGACGATCTTTTGGAACCAAAAACGTGTGCATAGAATAATAAAAAAATATTGTAAAACCAATTGATATTTATAAATCACTTCATTCAGACCATTTAGTAGTTTAGTATTTAAAACAATAATTTAATAATAAATGAAAATTTGATATACATTAATTTTGTCACTTAAAATAGATATTCTTTTTTTATTTTCGTGTTTTTGTTTTTGGGTAGTGAGGATTTTAAACCCGAGTAAATTTTCATTCGACTATTGTCTATGCAGCCTCACTGTTGAGTACTGTCAGATATATAAAAAGAATATGTACTTTAGAATATTTCTCTGGTTTATTTACTTATTATTTTTTTTCTAAACGTAGGGTTTTTATTATGAAAACGAATATTTTTAAATCAACGCGTACAATCTATCAAAAGTACTTACAAAAATAATCTACGGTAAATGATGATGATGACCTTCGATGATAGCGACAATGTTGTAGAGTTTTTTAGTATATAATTATATTATTATTTTAATTATACATTATATGTCGAAAATACAATTATTCTGAACGAAATTTATAATATTGCACGACAATAATAAAGCGCCATATTATTATGTTCGTATAATAATATAGGTATTATAATATTGAAACTTAAATAGCTAGGTAGGTAAGTCGGTTGTTTGGTCGTAGGTACCTATAAAACGTAAAGCTGTCATGGTTAATGTGTTACTTAATATTTAGTACCTATAGATAACTATTAAAGCTTTTTTTTTTTCATCGCCAAGCTGGGGCTTAACCCGTTTTCACATCAAGCCCTAGAGATAACTATTAAAGCTGAAACAAATATACCTAATTAAAGGGATTAAGTATCTATATTATACAACATAATATTCAGCAAATTTTTTATTTTATACAATATTTTTACCAAACACATTGTTACCTATATGAAATCCGAATATAATATAGCTTATCTATATTTATTTAAATTATTAAAATATCATACGTATTTTCTTTAAAAATAAATAACTTTACATGGGTTTATATATTAAATTCTAAGATTAATTTAGGTTAAATTAAAGACCTAACCAATTGGTAGGTAGTATTTTTATTATAATCGATGTTGATAAAATAGGTAGTATTTATTATATCGGTAGGTAGGTATAAACTATAAACAGAGGGCCTCTAAACAGAGAAATAAAAGTAATAAATAGATATACTAAAAGCTAATAGATAGAAAATTTACTTATTGATCCTTCGTTAAAAAAATATTATTTTTTGCCATGATTAAAGTAGGTACCATAAGCCCATTCAACTTGGACGTACTTAAAGCGAGGGCTGGCCTTAACACACCACTAATTACTAAATATTACAGCTGCAATAATTGTAGTTAGCTACCGATTTTGGACGTCACACTTTTCGGGTATAATATACTCTTTCCTTCTTGGCTAATGCAATGGTATTTAAAATTCATAACTATAACAACTGAAATTGACAAATTTTATATTTAATATTTATATCAAACAAGTAACAATAATTCTGGTTTATCTTTATTTCCAAAAAACAACTATATAGACGAAATTAAACTTGCTTTGAGGTCTATAAAAATAATAAAACGTGTTAAACAAAAATTAGTTTTTAATTTGATTAAGGTAACATGTTTAAACATTTTATTGCAAACTATTTTATTTTATTATATTTTCTTACAAAAATTTGTCAAATAAATATTTAAATTTTGTGTAATTATAAAAAATAAAACTTAATCTTAATTGTTGTCATATGTACGTGTATACATAAAAGTATATTTTTCACATAATTGCAGTAATAATTTTTATAATTAAAAACCATATTGGAGGGTATAGTTATGTTTAATTAAATATAAATATTATCGTATTCAGTTATTATAGTTGCAAATGTTAACAAAATTTGTATTGGTCTAAAAGGGAACTACCCTTAGATTTAGTTACATCCCAAATATAGGTAAAAAAGTCTAATCCAATTTGCAGTACAGGATAATTTACGTTGAATTCAAGATTTAGCCTGATCAGAAGATATTTCAAAATGTGTTCATCATATATTTATGAATTATAAAGTTATCGATGTTAGATTTATATTAACGACTAAACAACTACTATGCGAACTACTTATATATAGCTATGAGGCTTTTCATTCAAAGTTCAACGAGATGTTCTAGTTAGTTCTACTGTGAATATCCAAATATTTTTGTATTTATCAAAAAGTACAACATACTTGTTATAGCGATGTTGAACAGACAGACGATAGTATTGCCGTGCTAAGAGAAAACAGGATAACTTCATTTTTCGTAAAAAATGAGATTTTTGTTCCTATAGATATAATTAGTGGTTTTACACTGATTTTTTTATGTAAAAATAACGTATTTTCTATTAAAACCTATCTTTAAATGAAATCTAAAATAATAACATAGGTATGCAATAAGTCCACTATATTTGAAGTTTTGTAATGGAAAATACGGTAAATCTAAGTAGGTACTAAGCAAATACTCGTATATCACAAAAAATAATGGAGTTGCCATGTGTTAGCTTATGTTCATAAACTTCATATATTAGAAAAAAAGGGTATTGATATAATGATGTGACAAAATTTAATCACATTTTAGAAATTGAAAATAACAATTATTATTTGATTACTCATATTTGATATATTATTTTGTAATTAAGTATTTACTAATAAAAACAACTGGTTGGTAAGAATAATTTATGGTCTCGTGGTAATCACTGTACTTATTTTTATCGTTTTATATCATGATAATACAATCAAAAGCATAGTTTAAATATTTTTAATATAGTTATATAATACTGTTTTACTTATCGTATCATATTCATGTACGTATAATGTGTATACTCCATATAAATTGCTTGACTTCTTAAAACAGTCATATTTAAAAAAATATTTCAAAAAACCACAGCAAAAAAAACGAAATATCATAAAATTAGGTACTATATTATATAGTACTATTTATACCTAAAAGCAGACAACAATTATTTTGGTTTGATTCACCTATATCAGGTACAGTTAATGATTTATATGAAGAACTCTGAAATTAGAAACTGCTAATAATGTGATATTGTGACAGGAACCATCAACCAATTAATAATATGTTACCATAAATTAAAATTTTGTTTTTTAAAAGATTAATTACATACTTTGTGAAAATTTTTTAGTAATAAAATCAATTTAAAATGATTTGGACGCCAGTCGAATTATTTCACACGTACCTATAGCGAGATGAGCCGAAGCTAATTTGTCCATGGACTGAGGTATACCAAAACCGAGTTATAACACCATATTATATTAATGCTGTATTATATTATTTTTATTAATTAATTGATTATTTATATTTTATTCTTTTTTTTCCTAGGTAAAGCCGGATTACACAGCTAGCCTTTGTAATACAATATGTATGTTTAATAATAAATATATACTATATTACTATTATAATATAGTATTGTAGGCTTACAATAAAGATTTACCGGTAAATCTTTAAAAAAATTAAAGGAAAATATCATGAATTTCATTGAAATTAATAATTATTATTTATTAATACACAATATTGGTGATTTATGCACAGCCGTGTTGTGTTTTTTTTCAGATAAAAATATGAAATTCCCGCAATCGTGTTAATCTCCTATTATCCTGCTTGCAATTTACTCAAATATTCCAAAATAATGTAATTATAGTGGTTACAAATTATGTCAAATTCAGATTATCTACTTATATTATAATAATACATCAATTATACAGGTAATTAGGCGAATTGAAACATTTGAAACACATAAATGTATTGTATCTAAGTTTATATTGCAACTTTCACTTCCTGATTATTTTAATAAAACATATAAAAATGGTAAATTCTCGTTTGACAATATGTGTTTAATATTTGTATACTAACAACAAATTGCGTAAATTACAACTTCTAAGTATTCAGTGTAACAACTCAACTCATTTTAATGTAATATTTGTTATCATCTGCATAAACTTTGTCAATTATGTCATTTGTTTTTGGAATTTGTTTAGCTTTAATTGTAAGTATGTATACTTTTTCGTTTTTGGTCATGTAAGTGTAAAATGAAATATTAGTGTATATTTTATAAATTATAATATTTAAACCATTAATTATTATAGTAGCCACTATTGTTGTTATTATTTATTGATATTTATTTGAAGTTATGGTTTATATTCTCAAACAGTCAAACATAAACACTTAATAACGATGAGATACTTGTTATACATTTAGTCAAGTCTAGGCATTATTGAATTAAAACTTAAGCAGGTTTAGTTTTTAAACTATTAATTTTATGAATAATAAAAAAAAAATAATTGAATATTTTATTTAAGTATATTGTTGTATACCTAATATATTTTGAATACTAAACTTTAGACAATTGAAATATTGAATAAATTATTTATAAATTTTAATAAAGATTAAAATAAAGTATTTTATAAAATACAAATACAATTTTATAAAAATGTTCATAAAAAATTACTATCTCTTTTAAAACGCATAAATTAAAATCTCTAGTCAATAACTACTATAAATACCACTATACCAGATGGACCAGTTTAAAGTTTAAAAATATATTGATTAAATTAATATTAATATTAACTACATTAAATTACTATAATATATATATTTTTATTTTTGCATATATATACTTTTATAAAAGTTGCTATTAGTGTTTTGAGCATAGTTTGTAAATATTTTGTAGAAAGAAATGTAAATTATTTTTTAACTATCCAAGATATAAGTTACTTATAATAAAAGTAATTTGTAATTTTTCAAAGTAAAAAAAAAGAAAACTAACTTTTAACTTAACTTTCATTTTGATAGTTATTGAATTAATTTAACAAATTTAAAACATATCTAGTCTTACATTAAGATGTTTTATGTTATCGATGTTATCGATGTTATTGTTGTATTTGTATATTTTTATGACTCAATACTCAAGTTATAAAATTTATGTTATACACTAATACGTAATTACAGATAATTTAAAGTTAGACAGCTAAACCACCTAAATTAACACATTATATTATTTAAATGTGTTGTTTATATAATTTAATAGATACTTAACGAATTCATAGTTTTCATTTATTATTGTTCCTGTCCAATTTGCTGCATAACAGTAGAATTGGAGGTATATATTTAACAATATTATAACTTGTAAAGTAATATATATATAATTATATTAATTGTGTTGAAAATAATATTTAAACATAACGATGGGTATGAATTTCAGAGTAGAATTTTAATTTATAACTAATCGTATCATGTTTTTGTGTTAAAAAATTAAAAGAACTTGATTTTTTTTTACGTGTATTTGTATTGTTGTATCATTATTTATTTTTGACTATACTTATTAATTATTATGCTATTATTAATGTTGGCAATTTTTTTAAAATTTTTAACTAAATTTATATCACAATTTGTTTTTTGTTTAATGCGCAATCAATATTTCCGAACATCTACACATACTACATTAGTATTATCATGATTTATTAGTATACATATTTGAGACCTTTAAAGGAGTAATTGATTAACCCACAAATTTACAATATAAAATGGAGAGTCTTATGAGAGCGTAAGTCCTCAATAGATCGTTAAAGTATTGATTATAGTTATGATGCTAATAAAGTTTTGGTTGTTAAAGTTTATGATTAGAAGAGACATTATAACATAATTTTTAATTTCTTCAAATTCAACAGTATTAAATATTTGTTTTGTGTAATTATGTTATGTTTGCTTAAATATAAAAATATAAAAAGGTAAAAATTGCGCAATCGTATTACACCTTGTATATCGTAGCCCTAAGTATTTGTGTATAGACGTATTTCTATGTTCACAGGGATTGACGTATGCAGAAGTCCGTATAACAAACCAAAAGGAATTAATGGATGTAGGATTTAACAGTGCCTTAAATTGCATATCACAATTAGATATAAATATTGGTAATTATTAAACATCACCTAATTAAAATGTTCGAGTTGTTGATGCCTAGGTATATTTATATTTTATTTGTGCGCTAATAAAGTAATAACTATTTGTAGACACTTGCAGCGAATTGTTGGACGATACATTTAATAGTAGTGATATTAAATATGACAGATGTAAAGTAAGTACTTATACCTACAAAATTATATTGTAAAATAAATTATTTAATTTAAATATATAGCACAGTACCTTTACAAAAATATAAAATATTATAATTTTTTAAATATCATTTAAATTTTTGTATACTATAGTGCGTCAAACAAGCTACAAATTATAGATATACGAGTATATAATATATGTATAGTACATTTATCTACCTCATGAAAAGGTATACATGTATTTCGTACGTTATATAATTTTAAAAATAGTGAAATTGTATACTTGTAAAGCTATTTATAAATATAAGTACTTTATTAGTCTTTGTAATTAAGAGTGAAAATCAGTAGCGGCTTAAACTTTTTTTCCTCGAATCACGTTTAATATTTTTACACCACTTATTCTAAAATTAGGGCTCAATAGTATATTCAAGAATTTTTAGTGGTTAAATAATGGATATTTAATTGGTATCAAAAATAAATCATGGAAACCTTGAATTATCTCTTTACCAAGTATAATATTCTCTCTCTCTATATATATATATATTTATATGACAAATAAATAAATTATCTTAATGTGAAATTTGAATAAAATGAAAATTGTTGTGAATTACATGATTCAAATATACCTCCTTCGAGTCGCCACTAGTGCAAATTATATAACTTAGTTAAAAAATCAAATTTTATTTATTTTCTTTTACGAATTTAACATAAAATATAGAATAAAAACTACTGATCACTATAATGTGATTTTCTAAACATTAAAACGTTAGCTCATTAAAAATATAAAAATTATTAACGTTAAATTTTTTTACGAAACTTTTAAGTCATTAAAACTATTTATTTATTCTTTATTTACCATTTTTTACTTTTTTGAATGACATTATACATTTTATGTTTCATTCTTCAAAATGAGAGGTACATTTAAAGAAGTGTTAGTGTGCTATAAAAGTCATCTGCCGACCATCTCCTTGATTGACTTTCATTCTTGTTCGATAAGAAATTACAATATTTACTATCGTTTTTTTTGTTAAAAAATTTATAAAGTAATAATATCATATCACCCTTATAAAAACAATTCTAAATCCACGTCCGGCTATTGTGTATATATCTCATTTGATAAATACCTACTATACATCAGAATGAGCTCTCTAACCTTTATTTTTTTTACTATTTTAAAATGTATTGGATTTTTTTTCCTTTTAATCTCTACTAGCTCTATTAGATCCATTTTTTTTCCACCTAAAACTACCTCTAAATTTGATGAATAAAATATTTTTATTACTCATAATTATGATATAATAAGACACACAAAAAAACTACATCATTGTTTAGCTAATACGTTTATCAATTTGCTCAGAATTTGAAATTATTCTTTGAACATGTGACTTATATTGATAATAAGTACGAGTATTTAAATTATCAATAAGTGAAGATATGAAGATTACCTGTTTATTCTGTATGGCATATTCATCTCCACTCATCAAAGATTTAAGTAGGTAGATGCTTATAAATTATAACCAGGTCATTAATTACTGTTCAATAATTGATTATTATTGATGAAAATTCTCACAAAAATATTTTCAAATATGAAATTAAATATGTATGTTTCCAATCAAAAAAGTGAGAAGAGATAACGATAAAAAAATTGTAGCACATTTTTTTCAAATGTTTTTTATAATGACATCGAGTTATGTAAAATAAAATACTTACAAAAACATGATAACATTATTCGTGATAAAAATGTTATGTATTAAATAACAAAATATACTCAATAAAATACCTACCCTTTTTGAAGTACTTAAACAGTAATAGCTAATTAGGGATATCGTAACACATAAAATATAGATAAATAGATACATAAAATATAAATAAACAAATTTGCTCAGGTATAACTTATTAGGTATATAACTATATTACGCTAGAATTTCAACAAGAGTTTTCTGAAAAAACATTGAAATATTAAATACATTATAATTATTATTTTAGTATATAAGATAGCTAATCATAATATATTTGTTTTAGTGTTTTATACCATGCGTATCTAAATTAATCGGAACGGTAAGTAACCTGAATATATTATGAATCGTATTATTATATTATTTTATGATATCGTTAAACCGCATAGTATGTATTTGTGTTTATTTCGTTTTATATAGATGGACGTCAGTGAAGGTAAGTGGGATGAAAAACGATATAAAGAAATTACGGCGTTGATCGAAATACCGGAGTGGAAACAAGAGGCAGAAGTTATTGGAAAATATTGCAAAGATAGTATGACATTTGATTTATGTATTTTGTAATATTTAGATAATAATTCTATATTTCTATGGCTTGAATAAGCCAACATTTTATAAAGTAAATTATTAGCAATTGTTCAGTTTGATTTTCAGTACATTTTCTTGGATTATATTTAATCATTTAGGTAGGTAATAATTTTGTTATCGGATAATTCAATTCTATATAAAATAACTATTCTAATATAACACAACATTAACAAAGTATGACAATGAATTACTCAAAAAACACAGCGTTTAAGTATCTAAAACTCTTAAGTAGAAGGCTCCGACTTCCAATTTTTTTTTTAATATGTACTCCAAGAACGTCAAAAAATGTTATAAGTTATCAAATGAATTTAAACAATAGCGTTTTAAATTATAGCATGAAAAAAAAATGCCAATCATACAATTTTTGACCTATAGGGGTTGAGGAAGTATTTCTACAGCCCTCCACTCAAAAAGCCTTGTAGAAATCTATCAATTGGAAACTATCAAGCTGATTATTAATTAAGTGCATAGTTGGCAATCTCAAATTATAAAAGAGGAAATATGGGGTATCAATGAAATATACATAAAATAATGTTTTTGAGAAAATTTTAAAATTACTGTTTATATTCATAAAAAATGTAGTAATAATTTCATTATGGATATCGCATTTACTTAAAAGTTTAAATATTTCACATAATATTATATAGAATATCTGTATTGTGGCAATGTATACAGATTTGATATGTCTGGTACAAAAGCTATTTAATCCTCTATTTAATAATATATTGTACACACGATATCTATAAAAAATATATTTAATAGCCGATCTCATTATCTTTTATTAAATTTAAAAATTATAATAGTCGTGATAGAAAATTATTATTTTTAAATATCATATCACAAGATATTTTTATTAAATAATGGATATAATATATAATCAATAAAATGTGTGCCTAAAATTATAAGCGTACTATTTATTATAGTATGTATTACAATTGTAAAAAAAATTTAATGATATTTTTTAACTTTTTTTTTTAGATATTAACACACATTGTTCAGCAGGTTTTCGTTTAATTCAGTGTGCGTTAAAACATTCTACAATGGTAATTTTATTATTCTTAAAATATGTTTATAAAATATTTAAATATACCTGCTTGTATTTGTTTTATAATTAAAGTTAAGTTGTTGAAATAATTTCGTTTTTATTTGTGTTACAAATAATAGCTTCAAAATATTGCAAAGAATTATATGATTCAAAAACAAGCAGAAATCGAAGCTATAAACTCTGCAACTTTCAATGACACAGAAGATGATTAAAATAATCAACTAATCCATTTACTATAACCGAGTCACATAAAATGGATTGTCGGTGTACTTATATTATTATTAATATGCACATATACACACATTATTTATTGTAATTGTTTTCAGTAAATTTGGGTTAAATTCTATAATAGTATTAATGATTGTATTTATTTCTAAATTTATTTAACACTATGGATACTCTGACGTATAATAAAATTGTTCTTAAACATAATACACATTGGTTTTATGTGAATTATCGATTTGTGTTTTGACCTGACACATTATCATCTCAGCTATAAATATTTTTTAAAAACCATTTAAATATGTTTAACGTTAACCGTGTTCTATTCAGATGCGTTTGTCATTCACTAAACTACAAGACAATCAATGTGCGTTTTCACGGTAGTGCCGAAGTCGTCGTGACGGATTTGTACGCAAACCGTAAATAATACGGCGCACTCTACCTGCCACGGCAACCGCTGCGAATTTCGTCTGAAAACTGACTAAATATTGTGCTGTTTTGTATATGTTAACGGCATGATGAAAATTAAAATCCTGGTCATCAAACCAGTTCATTACTAGTCATTGATGGTCAATGTTTGGGAGGTAATGCACAGGTTCGATGGGCCACAGGAGTAGAAATATGTGTGACAGTTATGACATTATCTGAGGAGTATCTGTAAACTGATGAGACGGCGATCCATAAAGTCGGTCATGGAAATGTGGACACTTGTTTTTATGACAGTATTCTATTGGCCGATGACCAGATACTTCGAGATCTCTGAGGAACTGTCGTTGGTCATCGAATGCATCGATGCTTTAATCAAGGAAAACCGCATAACAAGTATGCAAGTGAATTCTTAAAATTTAGATTTGGGTAACAGTCGATAAGTTCAATAAAACATTGAACCTTATTAAAACAATTTTATACTTTAGGTATATCACAAGTAGGCACTAAATTAAGTAATACACTATAATCCTGTTAGTCCTATGTAAACATAAGTATACTTTTTTTTTTATAAGTATAAAAAAATGTAATACTATTATGATAATTTTCTGAATTTTCTAAATAAAACTCGTCGCTTAATTATTATTTGTGTTATTGTATCCATTAATACATATGTAATAAGTTATTACTAATAACTAATAATGTATTTCATGTACTAGAACTAATGTTCACATGTCACTTAATATTTTACGTTTATTGTCGTACATAGAAGCCTTATGAATTTATAAAACATTTAAAACTAGTTCATTTTTTTTTTGAAAATTCTACCTATAATGAATCATTGAATATGTATTTGTTACGGGTAAAGTATACAATTTGGAAATTTCTACAACGCTCGGACATTATATAAAATGGTTTTCTTATATTGGGCGTTATAGATAATATAATATTTATAAATAAAATATTGTCAAAATATAATGAATAAAATATATTTATATTATTAAAAAATATAATAATTTTTTTTTTATTTTTGTATCATTTATTCTTGCATGTACTGCTTCCGTGAAATCTTTTTAACTAGGTAAAAAATGAATTACATAGTCCTGCAAAATTCAAATCTGAAGTTCGTTCTATCAAGGTCTAGTTTTTTTATAATTACGATTTAAAGATAGTTTAACATTTACATATAAATAATATGTACAATAGGAATAGATGCTAACTGGTTTCATCTTTTAGACTTCTTTTAGATGAATCTATAAACAAACTCCATTCATTTACATCATAATATTTGCTTAAATATTGAATTAACCCAGACATATTATTACAAAATACAAGTGATCCTTCCTTTAAAAAAATTGTTTGTATTCCATTTCATAATTCCTATACCCATTATTACTAAGATTGTCATCGGAATCTATAGAAGTATCGTGGCTTGAAATAGTTTCGAAGGTTTCTGATGGTGTAGGTACTGGTAATTCTGGGCCAAGTGTTATAGATCGTAAAGCAGAGGGTTAATTTGGATAAATTATCTTTGATTTATTTTTTTTATTATAACCGAAAATATCAACAATACAAAAAGCAATCGTCAAAATAATTTTTTAATTCTCGCTAAATCATTGGTAGGTACTCCAAAAGGCATTGATAAACGCTAACCTTATTTCCAATTTTGCAAACTTTCAACACAGGATCGGCAAGTAATATGGGGTACCCATGATTTATTTTGATCTCCTAAATGAATACCAAAATATTCGTGGTATACATGTTTAACAAAATTTGTTATGTTATTTCGTTGTTTTACTATAACATATTTACCACGTATATAACAAAATAAATTTGAATTGTTTTAACAACATTTTTTTTTTAATGTTTTTATACGTCATACTAAAAAAAATTGAAAATCAAAAATCACCCGTATAAAATCTTAGAAATGTGATGTAGAACTCAGATATTTTATAAAAAATGAAATGAACTTAACTATAAAGAATAAACATCAATTTTATAAGTTTAAAAATATATTTAATAATTGAACTACTATATAAGATAAACAGTTTAATAAAGATAAGGTTAAAGTTTCAGTAAAGTATACTACATATTGAGTTTATAATAATAATTCGACTTGGGAATATACTGCGTAGTATTGTACCTATGATTATACAGAGAACACAATATTTAAAATTCAAATTGTAGAAAAACTAGAACTACGCTATACAAATGATTCGTCGTTACTAAAAAAGTTAATTTTATGAGAATTAATCTCATAGGCGTAACTAGACCTCTAAAACGTTCCCATTGTAAGAAAACCGACAAGAACAAACGGAAAAAAATACTAACTAATCCAAATCTACAAATAATAATCAGTGCTTAATCTGACTCTAATATTTTGATAATAATTTACTATTAAATATTATATTATCTATATTGCCCAATAAAAGATGGCCATTTCATATAATACCTACTCAGGAATTGTACAAGATTCCCGGGCGTTGTAGAAAATGCCCAAATTCTATACTTTACCCGTAACATATACACTAAATGACTAAAATTATGTAGCTATTATTATGTGTAATATACGAAATTAGCGCGCTTTTTAATAAACTTTTATTTTCTAAATAAAATGTTTAAGTTTATATCGCCTTTATAATTGTAATAACTATAATAATGGTATATTATGTAGAATGTGAATTAAATTTATCACGCATACGGATATTGACAAAGTGTCAAGTATAATATATTATATATTATGAAAAAATAATCAAGTACATTCATTCAAAAAATGTTAAACAATGTCCAATGAAACTTGATATTATAGAAAACAATGGCAAAATGATAAGTAGCTTATTGTGACAGACCTTCGTTTGAATATTACGTTTCTCTATGAATTTAATTTGTCTATAAATAACCCATTTATATTTATAACATAAAATGATAATCATCACTGCTGCATGCTGTGCGTGTACAAGGATCATGATCTAAATAAGAGATAATAATACAAAAATATATATTTATTTTTAATAAATAATTGTTTAAAATCGATTTTTATATGCAATTTATTATAAGTACCTATTTGCTTGTTTTATACGTTTATCGATCAGTAACATAGTTAAAAGGGACTGGGAGTGATAGCACTTTTCGAAATTTCAGGAAAATTTAAAAATGCTTTCAGAGTTTTATGAACATATTATGTCTTTTGTAACTATATATTATATTAAAATTTTAATTTGCACAAAACTATGAAATTTACCTATCCAAGCTAAAAATTTATCTTCGAAATACATCTTCAGAATCAGACCTGTTGATTTAACTCTGCTGTTGTTTTCTCATAGAGACATATACATTTCCGTTGAAAATACAAGAAAACTTTTCGAATAACGAAAAAGCTTGATGATTTAAATTATAAATTATCCCATTAATTACAGCATGAAGAAATACTTGTACGAAGTTTTTAAATAGATTGTTATGAAATTCTTGAAATTTTTCTTTTATTTCTTAAGGAGTGTCCTGTGGACATACAATATTCTATTATTTTTCAAATAATATAACCACCCTTCTTTTTACAGTAAATTATTAAGCAGATACATTTTTTGAAAATTGTTATTTAATAGAAATTAAATTTAAAAAGGCAATTTTTGAGCTATTTTACTTTGTAAAAGAAGAATAATAATTTATTATAAATAGGTCCATAATAATGTGTATAGAATAAAGATATATATTTTATAGTAATATTAAAATTATATTAATTAGTAGTAGTTTGATAAATAGAAGTTGTATTGTTACAAAACACTGCTTAAAGGGTACAAAAAACCATAAGTACTTGAAAGTATGATCTTAAGTATATTTAAAAATTCTAAAAATCATTATTTGAAAAACTTAATTATTGAACGAAAAAAAAGAGTTTAAAATGTTTGTTGCATTACACTGTTTATTAAAAAAATTATTTATTTTTCTTTATGATATTCGAAGACAATATCTAACAAGCACATATTATATGCAAGTAAATTACCAAAGACGTTGTATACGTAAGAAGAATACCGGATGAAAAAGTTTCTCATTAAAGTTAGAAAAGGACAGACATACCATTTATCCTAACCTCGTGATCCATAAAAATTAGCTTTTATCAACTGTTTAATCATAGTATATACACAAGATATAGATAATTATTTTAACATTGTACTTATAAGTTGCTTATACGTATGTATACATACTGAATGATCTAATTAATGTAAGATGATTATAATAATAATAAGCTACATATTAGAAATTTAATTTTCGTAGATCGAAATACTATAATACATTGAAATATGAAATTAAAAATGTATATATGTGTCATCATTCAAAAGAGAAAAATCTAAAATGTTATGAAAAATTTAATTTTATCCCAAAAATGCTTTTTTTTTAATGACTTAAACTATGTTAATGAAATATTTCCTAAGCCTTAAACTAACTTTAATAATAAGTATATTATGTTAAATGGATCAAATATGATTGCAATTTTATAGAGTTAACTCAGTTAAAATAGTATCTATTACTATATTTGAATCTAAATAATTATTTGTAATTATAATAAAAAAGTATAAATATAATTCACTTAATGATTTTACCTATATGATTTTCCTTTTATAGTTTTAAAAAAAAAAATAAGCTTACATAATGGTATACTTGATGATGTAATTGTATAAATATTGTTTTTAAAGTATTTTTATGGCATCGAATAATTTTCCGATATAATAATAACCATTTTACATTGATTCATGATTTTCATCGAGGTTATTATTATGTTTTATACCAGTCTATTGGAGATATTTTAAGTTTGAAAGTGATGGCCCAGTATAACTAGACCAATTTTTTCTTTAGGATATTTATGTCTTTAGCTTGGTAAGTACCTAATAACTTATTAATTATAAACACAATATTCATATGTATATATTATATATACCATTTTATTCAATAATTAATGCAGGTAATGAAGGTACCTGCTAGTACCTATTTAATATGAATATACATTTTTTCAATAAACTGAATGACATTGTTGAATTTAACATCCGGTAAATAAATTAAATGTTATGTATACGGATATCACGATAAATAATCCATACATATATTTTTGATTTTATCAAAAATGTGTTGTTTAAGTGTAATATGGTCTTTCCTGTCAAATGGTATGCGTTGAGTATAAAATGAGAGTGATTATTTTGTAATTTCCATTTATTAAGAATTTTATATACACATAATTTGTTGCTCGTGTGAAATAAAATAGTTTATGAAAAATATGTTTACCGGAACTTTATTGGTTTGTCTTTTTGCAGCTGTTTCGGTGATAATACCTGTAAGTATCGATATAATATAAATAATATTTATAATATGTTTCAATCAATTATAATACTTACTAGGTACCAACTGCTATGCTGTAAACGAAATCGATTAATTTCATATTTGTGTAAAACCCATTTAAATATATATATATACAAATTTAAATGATTTTGATATTTAAAACCTACGATATGTCCTATACTAGTTATACTCATACATTTTTTTGAATAGGTAAATATAATACAATAGATCAAATAAATGAACACAATGATACTGAAAATCAATTTTTAAAAGCATTTAATATTTTAATGTTAATCTACCCAGCATACAATAAGTTAAAAAAATATTGTCTGTATATAATTATTATACTTTATATTAATAAATTTCTCTTCGAAATATCAATCTTTTTTCAAAACTTATAATACTGATTACTGAATTAAAAATATTGACATTGATGTGTAATATTATAATGTATAATAATGTATAATATTTGTGTTTCAGGTAAGTGCTGAAAAAAAATATAACAACCAAAGCGAACTTATGGATGATACGATTGATAAGATGTTTGAGTGCATGCAAGAACTGGACATAAATCCTGGTAATACTATATTATTATTTGTATTAAAGAATATTTTATCAAAGAATATTTGCATAAACGCGCACTTGAATGAGTATAATTATATTAATATTTTATGTTTATATAATATATTTACTAATCGATAGACGTTTGCGGCGAATTGGTGTTGAAGAACAAAAATCACAACGATAAGAGGTATGATAACTGTAAGGTGTGTATATTTTAACTTCTAAGTATTTTAAATATAACTTACATCTATTTACTCAAACTATATATTAGATTTTAAGCGAAGCGGTGAAAGTATTATTTTTATGATGTAATATGCATATTTTTTTTTGTGTCTGTCCTCACTTTTTGTGATACAAATACTTTGAATTTAAAGATGGTTTCTAGTAGGCAATCTGAACTAGTTAGTACTTTGGAAATTCACATAAGTAAACAGTTTCCAACATTTTACAAAATATTTCAAAAACGAATTGCAGTAGGTACTTGAAATATTTACCAAATACGTTGATTAGAATTTTTAAATATTATATAATTTTTTAAATGTTTTGGTTTTCCAAACTTTTTTTTTGCATAGATATATTTATGTAGACAGAGTCGGATCTAAGGTGAGAAATTGAGGATTCGTCCTCGGATGTAATATTTTTAAAATTTTTATAGGCATGAGTTGTATACGTTAATGTATTTTTTTTTTTATAATTTATACAAATTAGGTTTGTAGTAAACAGAAATCAAATTATGGTTTTTAATTTTCATAATTTTATAGTTGAAAACAAGATGATTTAATTTCAAAAACGAGTTTTACATAATTAAAATACTTAATCAAAACACAATTTTTAAAAAACTCAGAAATATCCAGAAATACGTATATTACCTATTATAAAGTTATATAATAAATAATACTATACAACTATGTAATAAATCTTTATCACATTTTTAGATCTTAATACTAACAATTCCAAATTGTATTAGCTAAATCTTTAAAAAATAAGTCAATGAATTTTCAAAATCTCATAACATTTCCAATTTACCAGTATTATTACTCCTATTATTAGTCGTTAATATTAAATCAAGGGCTTAGTTATATCATATTTTAATGTATAGGTAAAAATTAGGGCTGGCATTTGAAAAAAAATTTTGTTATTTACAATTAAAACGTTATACAAATTTTGAGTTTATTATTATTCAAAATTAAAACATTATTCAACTTTTGTGTTTATTATTATTCCGAATTAAAATTTTTAATATATTTTATAAATTATAACTATTAAATAATTGGAAATTGATTATTTCATTTAATAATATACCATAATTTAACGTTTTGTATTATTTAACTATTTATGTTTATCGTTTTCCGTTATAATTTCGTTACAAATCTCAATCGTTTTTTTTCAAATATAATGTTATTATAACGTTTGCAAGCTCTGGTAGAAATACAAACATTTTTATTGTATGCCTAATTCAGTTTATTTGAATATTGTTTGATTGCAAATATTTTCGAAATTATCGCCTATTATAAATATTTTATGATTATAAATTAACTAAAAAATATTAATTTAAGAACATAACAGTATTACTACATACATTTTATTATATATGTGTGAAGAAATTTTTATTATACTTAATATTTTTTGTACAAATATTAAGTAGGTTTGAAAAAATGAAATGTAACTTGCGAGCACAGTCATCTCATTTTTCTGGGTATTTATAATATAATACATATTGTAATTAATAGTTAGATTAGGTAGGTTAGTCAGTTATTTTAATAAAAATTAGTGTATTGTATTATTATCTCCAGGTATTCAATTCTTAGAAGCGGACGTTGATGTATAATAATGTAATCTTATCAAATTCTCGACCGAGACGATGTATATATATATTTTATACCCACGAATATTAGATAGTAAAGTTTAATCAGCTTATAGCTTATACACATACTAGTATAAACATAAATTATCGTAGTCTTTACGGTTATTATACTTGTATTGTTTACCTCGTTTAAAATACAAATTTGACCGATTATCTGAACTAGCTGGTGGCGCGGGTTAATTCGGATATCTATAAAGAGAGACTGTAGGTCTTAGATAATCAAACGTGCAGTAATACACAAATTTAGTAAATTAGCAATTATTAAAAGAGTAGTCGACTTAACGAATATGGCAGTTTTATAGAATAAAAATTATCATATGTATATATTATAGGTGATTATTTCAATTCCAATGTTCTCATAATATCGTTCTTTGAATACCATATAGAAACTTAGTTGATAAATTTAATATAGATGTTGGTCTTAAAATCACACCTTCTTGCTATGTTATGTGTGGTTTACTTTCATGGCTATAGGAACAGACACTAATATTTCTTAGGGATATTCACTAGAGAATTATGAACTTTTGTCACCCGACAAATTAAAAAAATAAATTATTATCCAATTTTTTTCTTAATGAATCAATATAACTAATTATTTTAGTCTAGTTTAATAATTGACATATCATTGGATAGTGCTATTATTTAAAAAAAAAAAAAAATATGATATTTTAACATAAGTAAACTAATATATTATAAAATGTAAATTAATATTGTACTAGTATTATAATTTTTACGATTTTAATTTTATTCGAGCCATAATATCAGGTGAGCAATAGATCGTAAAAATTGGAAATAGAATATGATAGATACCTGTACAAAATACCTAAAGGATATTTACATTTTTGTAGTTTTAGCTGTCCACGTATTTTAAGTGCTTATACTCAATGTATATTTACAATTGAATCATATAATTCAATTTAAAAATAATACTTTTGCGGATAATGTTCGATGGGTCTAGCTGCCTACCCTTTAGTTTCACTCCACGTATGCTCATCATACGTTAAACGGTTAGAAATTAACAACCCCAGTTTTGGGCAATTTGTGTTTCAAATGTGTGAAGTAAAAAGTCTTAGGAAAAAAGTCTTTGTAAAATAATCCGGCACATAAAAGGTTCACTATTAAATAGTTCTTAATAATGGTATATTATTACCATAAACTTCTTATACACTCGCTCCGATAGTGTACAATTTATATTTTTCTTGTAATTATTAATATTATATATAATCTAGCTCGTACCGTTCGCATAGGTTCACAGTTAAATCTACGTTATGTCTCATTTATTATGGTTGTTTGCCATTGCAATCGTAGTATATCAGTCACTAACCATGATCTATACCAGAACATTTTTAGTATTGGACATATCTCAAATGTTTGACATGATGCTGTGGCAGATAACGCTGCACAGCTGTGAACCCGACTTTTTACGATCACAATTTACAAATCATCGACGCATATATATAATATATATTCATTTATTTCGCGACGGTTCGGAACAATCGAAAGATTAATAATAGTATTTTTTTTTTTTTTTAGTGCATCGGCCCGTGCGTCGGGAAGAAAATGGGAACGGTATGGTTATAATATTGTAGTGTATTGCAATGTTTTATTATTTTATTTGTGATTTTATAACTATTTTAGATGGACTCGGTGACTGGTAAATGGAACTGGGCTAAACTTGAAGAGTTATCGACTTTGCTAGAAAATGAAACGCTAAAAAATGAGGCAAAACTATTGCATAAACATTGCTTTGATGGTAATGATAATTTATGATATTTAAATATTATTTTATTTTAATATATCCATAGAATATTATATCACTTTATACAATCGCTGCTTAATATAATATTGTATGTATAGTGCGCGACCCGCGTAAATGGTTGACGACAGGTTAATTAGTTATTAAGTGTAAACCTAATGAAATAATAAAAATCTTCTCTATGAATTGATAGGTATAAATAATCAACAAATCAACATTACTAAAAGCCGACATATTTTCAAAAAGTCTTGCCGAATCTTAGAAACCAGTTTTACAAAACGGAAATCGTCAAAAATTTTAATTAATTTATTAAAAATGTTTTCCTGTACTCGTCATGAAAATATAGTAACAAGTATCGTGTACCTACTATGTTTTATACTTGCTTAACTATTTAGTATACATACGCCATAAGGTATACGAGATAATTCTGACAACTAGCGATATTTGTTTGACCGATATACGGATATTTAAAATGTACAGGTCGTCCGGATGTGACGTAAAGCGGCTAGCTATAGATAATAAAATTACTTTGATGTATATAGTGTCAAATGACAAAAGCCTTTCTATGCGCACTGTTTTATGATGACCGATTATGTTTAAGTGTGACGCCCATAATATGCTATGTAAATTACACGTCATTCATAACTGTTTTATTCGATCTGTTATATAGGTAGGCAAATACAAAATAGGTAGGTATATATTGTTGTATTGTATGAAAAAAAGCCTAGATCAATTTTCATTATTCTAATTTCTAATCTATCTATACATCAGAGTTGCGAGCAAAGATCATAATATAGGTCAAATTGCATTCATGTTTCTTTTTGCGACAGAATTGATTTGCAGGAAATATCAGCGACGTATTTAATACTCAGTCAAAATGATCAAATTTATAACAATTTTAAAATAAAAAAAAATATAAGTAAATATAAATAAATAGTCAGATGTGTTATAATCTATCCAATAAAAAATTGTGGTTTAAAATTTTTGAAAATAAAAAATAATATTAAAATTCTTATATTTTTACAATATGACATTATTATACGCATGTTGGAAAAACAAAATGATCATTTGTTCAACCTATACGCACTCATCACTTAGAACCTATCACAATAAAAAAACTCAACACAATCATAAAAAACCATACTCGCAATTCGGTTTTTACTAAAAACACTCTTTTGGCATGCGATTCCGATGCAGTCCTAATAATCCTATCTAAATGTACCTATAAAAATAAAGACATGATTTTATGGAGCTTAAAGATTAGAAAAATATTAAACCAATTGGTATCAAATTTGCACAGATTAAAACTTGGGGAGTATTCTTCATTAAATTTTCAACCCCTATAGGCTGCTATATTGAATTACTTACACATGAATTTAATTTAAACTCATTAAAATCGATTAACATTTTTTTCATATATATATTGGGTTGGAGAAATAAAATATTTTGAGAAAAATTGTATAGAATACCTACATTTGATCCGCCACGTGTTACTATGGGATATTTTTAAGATAAAATAATACTTAATAAAAAAAAAACTATTTGACCAATGATAACGGCGAGTAAGGTACACCGATGACGATTTACTCGCGTTTTAAACGAGGTAGGTACACATAACCCATAATATATACGTATGTATATAATACCGATATAGCGTCATATTTTAATGTGTTTGTTCATATTTTCTTTAGCAAAGTTAGGTAAACAGCCAGTATATTATGTACAAATTAAATAAATTAAACGACGTTTATATTGTATACTTTAATAATATTATATTATATTTACAAGTGACGTACAATTTATCTATTGCAGAAGTAAACACTCATTGCGTCGCCGGTTATGCGATCATGAAATGCATCATGGAACATTCCGAAATGGTTGTACTTTAAACGTGCCTATTATAATTTGGCTTATCGTGCTAATTTTATTTCGTTAATTTTTACAGGCTAAAGATATGATCAAAAACTATTTGGCCACCAGAGATGACGCTCAAAATGAAGACAAAACCGCAACATAATACAATATATACCTAATATTATAAAAAAAATTGTACAATGTTTGATAGGTAATAATAATTATTAGATTATAATCTACGCAGTTTAATGCACTCACAGTACGATTCGATTACAAAATACAATACATATACGATATATAAATACGTTAGCACTAAAACTAAATTATTATACTTGGTATAGATTTAAAAATATACATATTTTTTTTATTTTATACCATAATGAAATAACATAAAACGGTGTTTAGTAAGTCGTTGTACTCGTGCCACTGATAGGTATATTTATATAATATAATATCCTTATACGTCTATAATCTATATTATATTAGGTTGTTCTTAAATGTCTATCGCATATTGAATGACAATGCGTACCTATAAGTCTATAAGTAATAACCAGTTAACGGTGTTCCACGATGTAGCATATACCTCGGTAATAGCAGGTAACCTTGCTAGTGTGTAGGTAATGTTACATGAGTTAGGTCATGATAATAATACATAATATTATTAATTATTATTGACTATTGTGCCGAGTAATAAAAATATCTATACTCAAGACGATTAAATTCATCATAATCATTGGACTTTGTTGTCAGTATATCGATAATGGCGTCGTTGTATTATTATTTACTAATATATTGTTATCTTGACGGAAATCATGAAACTTGTATAACATTATAACGACGACTGAATCGTTAAAATACCTACATTATTCAAAAAAAAATATTATATTATTATTTAAATGAACACTTTTAATAAAAGTCATAATATTAGATAATATTATTAAACTTTACATTCAAATTTCTTTTTATATATTATTATTTTTTTAAATATATATAGGTATATTCTGTAATTAAATCTATAGGTATACGTATACCGTATACAATAAGTGGAATTAGAATTAATTAGCATGTATACAATTATAATAAAATCTATTTTTTTTTTTAAATATTATGGAGGTTTAAGTGACATATTCATGTACTAAACCCAAATGTAAAAAAAAAAAATTTAAAAAAATGCTAGGTATAATAGAAATATGTTAAGACGTTCAACAAAACATGTTTATAGTATGATTACATGCAATTATCAGACATCACTTCTAATGACGAATATGAAGATTCGAAATACAAAATTTATTCCTTCATCTAGATATCGCATGAAACGAGGTTTAAAAAAAAAAACCGTTTTTCGAGGCCTTTTATTGTAAAATTTTTGAAAATCATATAAAATATTACATAAAAAGGTAGAGCAACATTTCATCAGACTTTTTAGACTATTTATAACAACTATTTAAACATCCTTCTACCTAAAAAAAGTGTAAATACTAAGTTTTTAACAAAAAAAAAAAAAATCAACAAGTGACGGTGAGCTGTAAAAAAAAAAAATTGCTTATTTTTCCTCTTTTTTTGTGCTCATAGTTTTCTAGCATCAAATTCTAATGATGAATATGTAGTTTTGAAATTCAAAACTTATTCCTTCCCCTAAATTTTGCATGAAATGTGGTTTTCATGAAAAAACAATTTTTTGAGGCCTTTTACTTTTAGTTTTTTGAAAATAAAACCAATAATTACATGAAAAGGCAGAGCTACATCCCATTAAACATCATAACTTGTTTCAAATTTACTAACACTTAATACTTTAAAAAATAGAATTTATTAAATTTTAAACAAAAAAAATCAACTAGTGACTGTGGACCATAATAAAAAAATATTAAATGTTTTTTTTTTGCTCATTATTTTCTCACCTTACATCTAATGGCGTATATGGTGGTGCGAAGGTTTTAAATCAGAAGTCATTGCGGACGCAAGACGAAGTGTAAGGACTGTATGTGAGTCAGAATCGTGATGCATTGCAGCGTGATTCGGTGACTCTCATATTCTTCCTGTGCAAAGGTTTGCTGCCTATTCCGCAGTACCTATCATATCTTCCTTCGCCCGAGTTCGTATTAGTCTTCGGTGTTCGTCATCATCTGCACCGTCAACCATCGTACGGACAAACGCGCCAGTGACACTTGTCTGCCTCCGGCAATAGCCGCGATAACGTTGTAAAAGTGACCAGTGGTCCATAATTTATTATACTCACTAAATACCAGTGATTAGCAGCCATTTCGCCATATCGCATCCCCATCCTCATTAATCATGTTGTCTTTTGCATGTACTTCCCTCCTTTTTCAATGTTGTTTTTTGCTTTTCGAAATGTCAATTTTTTTATAGGTACACATTAATACGTTATATTGTTTTGATTATTAATATTATTATTTTTTGTCAAAACTGTTGTATTAAACATTGAGCCACTTTCAATGATATATTTTTCTATTATTATACAATTTAAAATGTGTGAGCAAATGAACGGGAATATACACTGCCTAGTATAATAAACTAATAATGATCTCTTACTCGTTCAACTGCTGAGTTTTGGATGTCGATTGTTATCTTATAAGTAACTAAAACAGTTGGATGTAGGTATTATTACTTATTACACGCAGTTTGAGATACATCTGATTGTATCGTTTGGGATACTATTGACAATAATAATTTACCAAATAAATTATTGTTACTCGAGCCGTCCGATTCACCCTGATTAATGACGGTTTAAACTTTAAACGAACCGGAAAAAATATTAACGGAATTATCTACAATTCGCAGGAATTTCAACATTTATGGATTAAAATTTTAAAAACCGTCAATATTAGGTATTGCGCTAGCGAGAAATATGCTGTCATTTTATGTAGACAAGAGAAAGAAACATTCACATTTTGTAGAAAAAAGTATGTATTAACATCACTATAATAACGGATATAATTGAAAATTTTAAACCCTGTCGCCATCACTGATTTTATACGCCATTTAAAATTAATTAACAATGTTTTCCATCACATTTTCCATGAGTAATCTTCAAATGTTTAACATGGTAGAGTATTTGACTTGACGATTTACGATTCAATCATGACTTATAGTCTATATCTACGTCAATTAATTTTAATCGACGACAATTTATTATACCTTGACACCTATAGTTGCCAATTTTTAGCATAAAAGTGGGTATCATTAAATAACTCTAAAATGTTGTCTACCTATTTATAGTATTTTCTTTAACACCTTTCTTAAATGTCCTATCTAAGGCTATATATTCTAATCATTGGTGATGGTGAATAATAAGGATACATATTCGTACGAGTAGGGTACCTACATTTACTCTAATTACAGTTATCCATTAATTCATTTCATATTTATTAAAAAATATTTCATACTCATGACGTTCTATATCTTCAAACGAAGTGGGAATCATTCAAAATTTTAACAATACCCGAATAAAATGTTATTTATGTAAACGATAAAATTATGTTCTCTGATACTGTTGGTCATTATCGTGGGCGACATTATCTAACTATATTTTCATATATACCTATCCAACACATTAAATACTACATAATATTATATATTATTTATTTTATATTATAGTTTCAAACAACTTACAAACAGTATAATAGTCTATAAAATTCTTTGTGTTCTTTTGTTTTGGATTTTTTCTTTTACATTTATTTATTGATGTAGGTAATGTATATTCCAATATAAAAGTACAATTGATGAATTTGATTATTAAAAAAGAAAATTATACGATTTATAAAAGCAAATAATTATTATATACTCACACTCAGATAAAAAAAAATAAAAATAACACGTGAAACAGTGGACCTGGTTCGGAACTAATGTATAATTTTCCACGATTAAAAAAACAAATACCGAAACCAAACAAACGAATACATTAAAAACGTAGGTATATTACTATCAATTTGTTTGATGAATGCGATATGTCTGGGTACAATGTATAGCTCATAAGAGAAAATATATTTTATTAACATCTATTATCGAAAAAGTGATTTTGGATAGCACATAAATATTATGATGTTTGTCCAGATCGTGAAATAAAGACGTTATTGCATTTATTTCGAACGAGATTGTTTAGAAGAACATATCCCGAAGCGGACATCGATAAATATATTAACAACCAGTGGTCACGAGTAAAACATGCCTATAGCTTGACGGCTGTGGCGGAAAACCAACTGGAAACGATTTCGTCCGTCTCGCACACAATGATATTACAAGTAAATTATTTAAGTTTGTATGATCATTTGTACGCGACATCCAATCCGACCGTTGCGGCGACGACGAATAGATGTTATTACAATAACACGCGCGCCTCTTAAACCGACGAAGAGGTCCACTATTTCACGGTATAGATAAAATTCAAACATAAATTATATAATATTACATGAGATACACTATATATTATGTTTTAAAGTCTAAGATATTAGAATATATAATATATATAATATATAATATATAATAATAATATGATTAATAATAACGGACGCGTAGCTTAAGACTGGGCCGATAGTAATAGTATAATATTATAATATTGACTAGAGATAAATCTGAAAAGATTGTATATATATATAGTATGATAATAATAATAATAATAATAATAATGCTATTCGTAAATATAATTTGAGTACAGTACGCACAAGAAACAAAAAAAAAAAAATCATATAATGGCGGAATAGTAGGTACCTAATATTTGTTTATAATAAAATTTCTCGTCGCGTTAAAAAACCCGAGAAGAACAAACGCGCGTTGACTCGACGCGGTAGAGAACGAAAAAATCGTTTTAAAAAAAAAATGTTTTGATAAAATTTGCGCTATTAGAGATTCTCATCAGAGCCTCGTCACCTCGGCCGGCGGCAACTGCTGCTGATGCTGTGCCGAGTATCTCCGGCAGTCCGTCTGACTGGCCTTGTCGTTCCTGACGTAGCCCGCGAAATAACCTCCACCGGCCGCCAACGACGACTGCGACGAACACGCGTCCAAGTACTCGCAGCTGGTCGACGACTCGATGGCCGCGATCGGATACTGCGGAGGTAATGAGAGCAGCGCCTCCGTGGACTTGGTCGGGTGACGGATCCGGCCATCGGCGTTGTGGCGGTGGTGATGGTGGCCGCCGCCGCCGCCGCCGCCGTTGTGGTTGGAGCGCTGTTGATTGTGATTGTTGTGGTGCTGCTGCGAGTGTTGGTGATGATGATGATGATGGTGGTGATGGTGGCCGCCGTGGTGTTTCTGTCCGCCCTTCACGTTCTTCAGCTGCAGGTACACCATGTGATGTTGTCCGGAACCACCGCCGCCACCGTTGTTGTTGTTGTTGTTGACGATCTGGTCGCGGTCCAAATACTCGTAGCCGAACCCGTAACCACCGAACGCCTTGGTGGTCAAGTTGTCCCACGACTTGACCGGTTTGACGGCGCAGTTGTCCCGCCGGTACGTCGACGACGACTGCGACTTGACCGAGTGCTGTCGCGAAGCGGCCGACAACGTCTGCTGACCGGCGGCCATCGGGTCGTCGTCCCAGTACAGCGTGTCCGTGCTCAGCGACGTCGTGTACGACGCCGGGCTGTTCTCGGTCAGGCTGTTCTGCGACGGTCGGCCGCCGCCGATCGACGTGCTCTGGCACATCCGCTCGTCCGACGCGTACCGGTCGTTAACCAGGTTAGTGTAACCGTGGTTACCACCGGCCGCATGCTGCAGCGACATGTGTTCGTCGGACACGTCGTTCCGGGTCGAGTTTCGTCGCTTTTCGTGTCCTTTCCGGCAGTACGAACCTTCCGATTTGCAGTCTGCGAACACACACAACACACAATGTCGATTGTTTCGATTATAAACGTGTCGTATATGACAATAAATATATATATATACACATGTATAACAACAATAATGTAGCGACATCAATGATGATGAAATAACGTCATATGAGTAGTATTATGATGTGTATATACTTGTAAATATGGTTTTGCTTCACTGAGCAAGCTCGTCTAGTTTTTTTCTTTAACAATGCAGTTATTTAAAATTCGATAATTGAAATTTCAATCATACTTACTAAATATTGCATATTTTCAAATTCTTGAGATACTTTTTACCACTCGAGTAGTGTCCTGTAGAAATGTAAGCTTTTGTTTTCAAATAACAACCCTCTTTTACTAATGTCAATTATTTAGTAGATAATTTTTCGAAATCCGTGATAATTGGTTTAAAAGTCGTGAAGGCTATGATCATTTGAAAATTGTAATCATTGATATTAATCTGTCAAAATTTAATTTTTTTTAAAATAGCCAAAGTATAATAAATACTAGATCCAATGTTTCATCTATTTAATATTTTTGAGGATGTATTTTTAAGGACAATTGTCTTTAGTGTAAACATTTTAACTACTGGGAAAATTAATTAGTAACCCACTTAAGAATGCTTTAAAAGATTATCGACTACATAATTTACAGTATAAAAGAGGATCTTATTTGAAAAACAGAAGTTTTTACAGCTAAATGACACTCTATCAAGAAATAAAAACAATCTTAAACATTTTGAAATATGATTTTTAAGCGGATTTAAAAATTCCAATAATTTAATTTTGAATGATTGCCCTATTGAAGAAAAAATGAGGATGAGCTTACTTAGTGATCCACTCTATAAATATTTCTATTATGTGCTTTTGGTTACGAAAGGTACATAAGAAATTATTAATTCAAATTTCTTCCTAAAGTTTTAACTTTTTTTTAAACATTTTATTTATATAATTTGATATAAATGCAAACCAACATAAAAAATAAAGATATTTTTTAAAATTTTAAATCATCAGTTTTTAAGTTTTGCACTTTTATAAATGATAACATACATATATAATTTTATACTGTTGAGAAGAATATTTTTATAATTGAAGTTAAGGTGAGTGGAGAAGCTTATAAATTGGCACGGGGTCCTCTTAATCATAAGTATTGGTTCTCTCCACAAATCGAAACATTAAATACTTATTATAACTAATTAACATTAAAAGTTCAATATTTATGTTAAAAAGTACGCTAAAAAATATTTTGATTTGGAATAAGATATAAATGAAGAAATATTCAAAAAAAGTAAAAACTTTAAAAATGATTAAAAATATGTAAACAAATTTGAATCATGTTGTTTTTTTTATCAATCTGAATACTGAATTTTGTAAAAATAATAATTACAAAAATAGAAAAATCTTTTGGAAATATATTGAAATGTGTAGACAATAATGGTGTAATGTAATATTGAATTAAAAATGTTTGTTATCAGTTATTGTGTCGTCATTAAATAAAATTATCATTAAGTCAATCATAAAAAGTGATGCACTTCTCTTGTAAAAAAAAATCAGACTAAAAATTTTAGTTCAAGTTTTTCTAATGAATAGTTAAGCTATCTCTCATTCCACAATACATAAAACTGTAAATAATATAAATAATATAGTATAAATATAGTATAATATACTAACTATTTTACACGAATACGGTTCATTATTCATATAGAAACAGTTTAAAATCGTTAAACTCATAAAATAAATCGAAGTTTTTGATTTAAAAATTATAATAGAAGATTTTTAGTGAGATTTTTAAATTATCATAATCTATTAAGCTTATTTTTATTTAACCATTGTCATATTTTATCACTATATACGTCAATTACTTGGGTACAATGTACCCGGTACATGCAAACATATTTCAAGTTAAATTTTAATAAAATAATAGGAACGAATCCTGTTTTGATGTCAATGAACCGATATACGCGACATGCGAATATCATAAATTGTTGGCTAAAGGTAGCCAACACTTTTATACCAAAGTGATTTGGCTCTACAAGCTAGAATCTGCATAAGCGAACAAACAAATGTTTAAAAATATCCACCATAGTAACCGCCACCATGTCATGTGTTTGGCACATGAAAACAATATTTTTATTTGCCTTTTATATGCTAATTAAAAATGCATGTTGCAAATTCCCATGTTTCGCGTGACAAAGTGCAGCTTTATGTACGTAGTTGATGATTTTGGAGTTATATTTCTTTTTAAACATGGATTGCAGGTGGTCATTAATTTTTAATTCCGGCATTCCGATGAAATAATTCACAAGTATAACAAATACATATATATATATAAACATAAACGTTACAAGTTTCTTAGTCTGCAGCGTGACCAGCACGAAAAGGAGGGCGGAAGTTGACATTTTTCAGTATTCTATGAACGTATATATTACGTAGGACGTAATAATAATATGTATTAAAACTGTAAATTGCGAAAATCTAAAATATTGTATACCTACGGCATCAGCGTCATACCAAACTAATGAGTGGTTCTAGTTCAGCCTCCTTTATGAAACAATAATTATCAGCCCCCAAAATTAAAACCCTGGCTACGTTACTGTTAGTGTACTACATAAACCGTCAACTCTACTGACATGCAAGACAAGGCTAAAAAAATAATAAATAAACGTATTAACCCATGCGTTTAATATCTATCATTATACATTATGATAATATGGTAATTTATTTTGAATGGATAAAATAATAATATATTTCTCACACGAGAAAACAAATGTACAACGTGTTTACAATGATGAACCCGTAACACGCGTAAATGATATACATAAAAAAGTGATATAACAAAATAATTATAAAATACACAAATAAAAAAAAAAAAAAACAATAAAAATATTAATTCGGTCAAATGTAGTATAAATAATATAATAGTATTATACAAGTCCATGACAGCATTAATAAAATATAATTTGTTATATTATATATATATATTATTCTCTGACGGTGAAAATTTAATAGTGATTTCAGTTTTTTACTGGATAGGTGCATAAAACGTTAAAATAAATTTAAGTACTAGTTCTTGTGTATAAGCCTAATAATAATAATTTAATAGGTACTATATAGTATATAATATTATTAAAATTATTGGAACATTAGAAACATTAGAAATGTGCGTGTGACGAAATCGAGAAACATAAAAAAGTCTACCCTACAGTCTGCCTATAACTGGAAAAAAAAACAATAACAAAAACTCAAAAATAAAACCTTGAAAACATGTAAAATGAAAAATGATACTTTTAATGTATGCGTATACATATGCGCGTATATATATATTTATAGGTACATACAATATACACATATATATATATAGCATGCTTACAATATTATTATCTATATAACATGATGTGAATGCGATCCTAGTAAAATATATTCAAGAAAACAAAAACAACATGAAAAAAAAAAACAGAAAAATGTGAAAAAATATTATCTATATAGGTAAATATAAAACAACAACAAATACTAAAAACCTACATGTAATAGTAATATTATCAATAGTATAGGCATATAAACGTGCAGATTTGAGAGTAAAAAAAAGTGGTGCGGGTGGGCAGAAGGCGCGTGTGCGGTATATTATATACTTTAGGGCTATCTACTGCGATAACAACGATATTTTTTTTTCGTACTATTTACTATACAATACTAAAAAATTACTATATCATATTATACTGTCTACAACACCGCTAACTGTGTAACGTAGCAAAAAGTAGCAATCTTAGCTTATAACGACGACAATGCGTATTCGTGTGATCGTTGCATGCGTATTTTATTATCGTGTAAACTATTTCAAGTGCGAGTGTGACGACATCGACCACAACAAAAATCACTAAGTCGGCATCCACCAAACCACAGCGCAAAGCAACGCGGCCAACATCGAGGCCCCTGGGGCTGCTGGAGCAGCAATCGTAGCTTGCCTGGGCTTTTGTCGCGGCCGCCACGAGCCGACGACGATTTGCGTCTGCGCCGATGTCTCCTGGTGGGCACGCACTGCGATCCTGGGCAGCACGCCGCCCCGCCGTCCGTCGCCAGATCGTACGCCTCCACGCTGCCTCCGTCGTCGTCTTCATCGTCGTCGTCGTCGTCGTTGTCGGCATCGTGTCCTCCGTCATTCCTACGCCGACCGGACGATCCGCCACCAGTACGTATACAACCCCATCGTGGACAGTTATCGCCTACACCGGAAAGCATATAGGAAACAACAAACAAACAAAAACGGAAGAAGAAGAAAGAGAAGAAGACAAAGACCGAGACAAAAAAGAAGAAGAAGAAATTTAACATACCACCGCTTGCCGTGTTGTATATTTAAGTGTATAAATATGAGGAATGAGCGAGTGTAAAGGTGCAAAGCGGCTCCAAAGCAATTATTAATATTATAAATGAATACATAAATAACGCCACGTGTTACGCATTTGCGCAGTGACCGCAGTAGGACTCTTAAACTCGAAAACCAATGAAAGCAAAAATATGCAGCAATTACTAAGTATGACGAATTGGCAAAAATAAATTGTTTTTTTAGAACGTTTCAGGTAAATTATTGCTTACTATGGTTTTCCAGTTGTGCAAGCTCTACTATAATTAGGTACATTACCTGAAAACCGTTATTGTAACGCAGCGCATACGTAATTATTGTCATAATATTATATTATTATTGCCACGCAAAAACACAATTTGGGATGTTTGTAAAGAAGGGTATATATTATTAGATTTAATCCAAAAATGTTTTCAAGTATACTAAAGGATAGAATATCCTATGGGGTATAATATTGCTTCTATAGCCTTTCCGTAAAAAAACATATTGCGCACGTCAATATAATTTATAATTATAAATGCAATTTGTAAATGAGTAATATATTTCCACGGTAATTTTTATTCTGACGACGTGAATTAATTGTGATTTTAACATTAGAAATAAAGCATTAATTTTAATACATACGTATTATATTACGTATATAGACGCGTATGTACATTTTATAATGTAACTAGTATAGGTATCCAATATTTACCTTGTGATGAAGACCGTTGCGATGCTCTGCTAGTAAAGTTGTGCTGTTTGCAGTGAGGCTGCTGTTGCTGTGAACGATTAGGTACATCTGACGACGTGCTGCACCGTCGGCTGACTTCAACTACGTAATGTGATCGTCTCCTCTGCTGGACCGGTTGATCCGGTGGCGCCCAGTTTTCCTGTTGGTCGCAGTTTTTGCTGCTGTTATTCGAACGATTGCTGAAAATACATGATACACGATTACGATTAGTATGTGTGCATTGATAATTGATACATATAGCATACAGGTTGTATTTTAAAGGTTGACTAAAAAATATATTTTAGGTTAAAATGAGGAAAATAAAGTAACAGTAGAAATATTATATAGTGTTATTATTTTTTTTTATTCTCGGTTTTCTTTTCCAGTCCACCATACATGCTCAAATAAATACAATTTTCCCCACAATTGTGTACATAGATATAGTAAAAATTGTTTAATGATAAAAATATTTTTTGTTATTTTTAGCTCACATTTAGAAAATGGGAGATTTGAGTATCCTGGAAATCAAACTGTGAAAATAGAGACCGAAAACGAGATTATCCAGTTTAAAATGGGACGCATGGTTATTTCACCTATACGTCACAGGGAATTTCAAATACTCTCACACCGGTGAATATATAAAAGCCATAGAAAAAAATAACGATCGTACAAGCAACTGTATATATGTTACTATTTATACATCATATTATATTTACATAAAAATTATAATATTAAAAATAAAAACACGATTATTATTTATCTCAAACATGTAGAAATCGAAATGTAATTAATTTTCAAATCTGGAGATGAATTATCGTGGTATTATGTTAAGTCAGTCTGAAGACAATACTTACTATAATAGTGAAACGATAGAGTCATTAGAACATTATTGATTGTCAATACTTACAAATATATTTTGTACTGTATAAAAAGTTAATTGCAGCAAAAATAGCCCGAGCAAAACGGAAAATGACACTAGACTCCAACTCAATTTAAGTTTTTTGGTAGAGTGTTTGACCAGCAAATAACGGATCTACATTTATCACACTACCACATGCCTTGTTTAATGGATAATACCCATAAGTTATTAAAATGATTTTCGGTGTATATAACTATATAAGTATGTGACCTATAATTTTACGTAGCTTTTTTTTAAATAACAACGTAACCCTTTTTTTTTAATAAAGTACAATTGAAAATTTTAAAATTATTTATGATATTACTTGAATTATCAAATAAATCAAATTTGATGACTATAGAAATGTATACCACAAATTATCGAAATAATTTGTATTTATAATATTTGTAATTATATTGATGATCTATATATCTGCATGACTGTATATCTTTTAAAAAATTAACATTTAAAGTTAATTTTAAATTACGACTAAATAACATGATATTCTTTGAATAATTTTAGTAATTATAGGTTCTTCTATTCCTTAAATAAATATATAGTAATAAGGATACATAGTTAATGATTTTTTTCACACTATGAATAACAACTGTAACATTAACCGTTAACACGGGTGAAAGTAATGAATTTACTTTTATTTTGATTCCTTAAATAGTTAATTAGTGTAATAAACATAAAAACAAATATTACACACTTAAGGTATAATATTTTAGTCTACTTGTATTAACATATTTTCAAGAATTCTAGTTAATATTATATTATTAAAATTAGCATAATAGTAAGTACTAAGTAGGTCGGTAGTTTCGGTAGTTAAGTATTAATAATTAATAATAATTAGTGTTTTATTTTTTTATTTTTAGTAAACTTTTGTATGAGTATATTCTTATATGTACAAATCATAGTTAGATTTTATTGGTACTAATTGCTTACCATAAAGTTAACTGTTATTTAAATTTTAAAATAAAAAATAATTTATTTTTACCAATCCTAACATCGCAGCAAAATTTTATATATGGGATGGAAATGACAGTTCTTAAATTACTTAAGTTCACTAAATATGTCAATGATCTATAATGGATTGGATTGTATATAATACACAATTGTAAGTACCTTTGCCAACCGACGTAACTTGAATCTCCATTAATTATGGCAGTGGCAGGCTGATGCAAGTAATAGGAACGTCCGTGCTGATCAATAAAATGATGTGGTCGATAAGCCAACATAAAATTTTGTTTGGGCACATAAATTGGCTGTGCTTTGGCCACGTCTTCAGTCGATAATGTAGGCCTAGACATAGAACTTTCACCTGTAAATTGTTAATCATTAAATCAGTGTCTGTTAAAAAATGAAAATAATAAAAATATGGACAGACCTTATCAAGGTCATTAAATTCAGTATAGCAATTCAAATTTTTAACATAGATATTAATAAAATTAATTTTAAAAAAAATTTAAAAATTTTGTTTTAAGGTTTTTGAATATGATGAAAATATAATTTACCTGCTTAATGATTAATTTTTTGAATTAATATATGAAATTTAACAACGTAAAGCCAAAAATTTGAATTTGTATGCCAATTTTTATTGATTCCAATTAATATTCCGAATACATAAACTTTTTAATTTTTAAATCAAAATTAAGCTGGAACGTGTGGGTTACTGATATGTTAAATATTATTTGAAACAATACATATTTGAATTTAATTTTACATACTATTTTTAGAAAATCTCTTATATTTAACTATTTTAATTATTTTGATTTTTATAAACAATTTTTTTATGAAAATGCATAATAATAATCATTATAAAATACTATGATACAGTCTAACTGCTGTCAAAATGTAGTCAGTCAGCGAGTCCTGAAAAAAATAAATGCCTGAATATTTCGTTAGTGAACATTTTAAATTTCGATGGACCCGAATATTGCCTTGTGATTTATGATAAAGATAGATTCATATTTAAAAAAATTGGATAAAGAAAAAAAAGTAAAACATACATTTATTATAACTAAAGTTCTCATATGAAATACAATTATTTTTATGAAGAATAATACGAAGTTCATAAGTAATGTATCTGATATCAGGTAAATAAATATAAATTGTTTTATATTAAAATACAATTGAAGCTAATATATTTTAATGTGTTATAATATTATTTAAAGAAATTTCTGTTTTTTTTTATTTATTGATTAATCATATACTATTTTATGTCTAATAAATTTACTCCAAACATTTATAAATAAACTAATTTTAAATTTTTTAAATTGTATTATATTTTTAAAATGTATAAAAGAAAATTATTTTCTTTTTTGATACAATTTTTTATTAGACCTTCTTTTAGAGAAGTTGAACAATAAGTTCAATTGATAAAAATCATGAAAATAATAGAGTAAATAAAATTCCTCTTATAGTACCTCCACTACTTTGTCATAAAATAGTTGTTACAAAAATATATACTTAATAATAATGATAAAACAAATATCAATTCTAATTATTCATTTTCTCGCTTTTTATATTACTTAAATATTATAGAATAAAGTCCTCAACATAGGTGTTTCATCAAATTTGATTATTGCCTTACTTTAAGATTTCTATTTTCAGGCTTCTTATTATCATTGTTGTGTGTAAGTTATATACACAGGGAAAAATACAGACTAATATTATGCTGAAAAATTTAAAAGTATTCTTTTCAATAAATATATATACAAACTACAATAAATAAGTTAATTACATAAGTCAAAATATTATTAAGTCATACATAAATAATTAATTAACAGGTAAAACTATTACACAAAATATAAGAAAAAAACTAGTATAAATATTTGAGTTGTATTTTTAATAAAAAGAATGATTATTATTTCTCTAAAAAATTGGTTAACAACTCAAAATTATTAATAATAACGTAACGCGTGGCACGTTATCGGCGAAAACATAAAATACTTTAAAACTATTTTGTTACCTATATCAGCCATAAATCACAGTAAATTATGCGTCATTCCATATTAGTAGGTTATTCATGTCCGAAATCTCAAAATGTAAATAACATGCATAAATGAAGTTAAATGTAGTTATCTGGGACGCGAAAAGTTTGTTTTATGTTATTGTAAAATATCTTACTATATAGTAAGGCTTTAAGAATATCAGTGATCTGTTAACTGTACATAAAATATATTGAATATACATATCATTAAAAGTTTAATAGAGGAAATATTATCTTTGTATCAATTTATTATTATTTGGTACATATAGCATAGCAGTATATCAAAAATATTTAATGGTAATCGGACTGTTAAAAATTACAATTTCTAGTCAGGTTGAGATATCACATCATAGTTCCGGTTTAAATACGAGCTATGCTCGGACCCACAACCAATTGCAATTATTACTATAAGCACTAGTTTAACTTTCGCATTAAAATACTAAGAAAATGAACTAAAATAAAATTAATATCGATTACTTTTAAGCTATACTTATATAACACTTATTTGCACTGTATTTTTAATATTTAAAGTTAAAATTCTAGATGACCGTGAAATCACAAATTCACAGCTAGTGAATATTAAAACCAATGCCAACGGTAGGCAACAGCTGTCGCGCCACCGTCAACGACTATTTCGTAAAATTTTCGTTCAACGTTTATATTTTATAATAGATAAAAAAAAAAGCCATGTCAATGACAGCAGTTGATGTAGCAGTATTACGTTCACAATAAGTAATAACCCATGAATATGACGTTTACGTATACATTTACATACGAAAACGCATGTTACTTTTACAACACGTAATGCGGTAACGTTAAAACTACTTAATTAATTAATTATTTGTAATCTTCTCAATAAATGGCTCATTTTAACACTTAAATTATTCAAAAAAAAAAAAAAAATCATGCAAATCGATTCGGTAAAACTTCAAATAAAGCCGTATAAAAATAAATCACCTCACGTAATAATTATTATAATAATATAAAAGATTATAATTTTATTTTCTATACGAAAGTAAATTTTAAAAAACTAATTGAATGTAATAAAATAAAAAAACATATAACCCTAATATGTGGGTAACTTATTAGTTATAAAAATAGCGTGGTAAAAAAATACAGTAAGTAGAGGCACGTTTCCTTTAGTTCTTATAGATATATCGTATTGTATAATTACCGTTTTCAGTCAATATTTTTTGGTTGATAGTGTCCTTAGAAGAATGACTAGACTTTTTTCTTGCTGGCAAACTGTGTGTTTTCCATTTTCCTTCCATGAGCTCTCTCTCTTTAATTTCGACCTTTTCTAGTTCTTCAACCTTGGCCTGAAGCGTACGTTGTAGTTGTATGTATCTCATGTGTAAGTCGACCTATAAAAAAGTGCATTATTTTTTCATTTATTTCGTATACATAAAAATATTTAGGTATGTTGTGTAAAATCGAAATTAATTTATATTATTATATATTAAATTATTCCAATTCTCACTTTTCGCACGCAGTCTTCAAATAGTACTACCATTCTCATTCGTGAATCACAGCTTTTTATAAAGTTTACCAATGCTTTATGATCAGCTTTTTCCATATCGACGCCATTTATTGATAGTATTACATCGCCTACAACAGGTCGTACAATGTCAGTTATGATATTTCATCTATGAAAAGTTGATTCAATTTACCTTCTCTCATCCCAGCTCTATATGCTGGCCCATCATAGTCTACATGATCCACATATGTTATCATTTCAATTTCTTGCTCTTTTTTATAATGAATGCCATAACTCTTTAAAAAAATAAATAAAATCATTATTATATACCTATATCTATTGTAATAATTTAAAGTATTTTAAACATACAAGATATAAGTCATAAACTCATGAATAAACAACTATTGGACTTTCAGTTTAATAAAAAAAACAAAAGGTAAATACTCCACTTGTACCAGCTCTTTATTCATTATCTATATAATTCTTAAAACTTAAAGATAATATAGAAAAATATAATATATTAAACATTAACTATAGGTATTTAAAGTTATAGTCACACATAAGTTACTGAGAAATAGTTACGGTATTGAACAACATATTAAAAAATGTATAATTGATCGTTTAAATAAGTAGATAGTTATTTAAAAAAAATTTTTTTCATTGATTAGATAAAAAAAGTAGAGATTTTTACATTTTATAAAACAACACTTTGTTTTAAAAATAATAATTATTAGAAAGGTAGATACTAGACAGTCAGAATTTCGTACTAAAAATATAGGTATTCAATAATATTTACTTGTAGCATGAAGCCATAACTTCCATTTTTTTTCTCTACAATTATGGTCCTTCTCCGTCGATCTTCTTCTGGTTTTGTAACAGTTACATGATCACATTTCACGCGGTCAAGTATTTGATTCTAAAACATAAATCATTTATTTATTATACATTTATATTCCATTTTCAATATTATTATTTTTTATTTTAAAAATGCAGTCATTGAATTCCGCTTTTATCGTATCTATAATATTTATATTAACATTAATTTACATATAAATTCAAGATACAGTCTAAAAAATCTAAATGAATATCAGTTAAATGTCGTATTATGTATTAAGGTATGTCATTTTTTATATAAAATTACGTATTTAAGTATTTATTCCGTTTTAATTATTAATAACATACATATAAAAATATATACGAGTAAACACTAATACAATATTTTTTAAATATATACATAATAAATCATGGTGCAATTAATACATTTTGTTTTAAAAATTATACAAAATATTTGACGAATATACATGATTTGATAAAAATATGTTCAACACTCGTACAATTAAAGTTTGTACACTTTATGGTATACTACTATCAATTAGTGACCACTGTATGATTATAATTATGATGATTTCATTTGGAGCTAGGGCCAAACTTGTTTTTCTACAATATGAAAGATGACCTGAAAGGAAGTCGCCTCCGGTAACAGTACAGCGAAACATAGAGAGGTATAGATATGTTACATCATCATTATCATAACTATTATGAGTATGATTTTATTTCACTATACACATAATAATATTACTTAATAATAAATAATAATAATACATTATTTAAGAGTACCTTAAATATAAGCAGATTCTCGTAAGAGATAGATTGTGTTAAAACACGACGTGAGCAATGGAGCGTTTTATTCGATCGCGGTAGTAGTATATTAAACCATACAACTCATGCTATTTAATATTTTAATATATACGTAAATACTAGATAGCAAATACTATTTGTATTAAATATAATAAACAAAAAAAAAAAAAAACCATAACCGAATTTGTTCAATGTCATGTAAAAAACCCTAAGTTATAATGAATATTTTATAAAAATTTATAAATTTATAATTAACGACATATTGTTTTACTTTAAAACTTAATATATACGTTATATATATTTCAAAGGAGGATTTTAATTTATTATATTTTCAATGTACCGTCAGTACTTACATTATTTTTGTTGTGCGAGTGTAAACAGACAACTGTATGTTTTAATGTATCTATTTGGCATTAAAAAAATCCCCTTGTCACTAAATAATACAATTCTAATCAAAAATAATTAATATCAGTTTATATGATTAAATACATAAATAAGTTATGCATTTAGTTATATGACTTAATATACATTTATCAATAGTCGGAGTTTAAAGTTTGAACAAACAACTGTAAAAAACTTGTAAAATAATCACAAATCTATAATATTTATTATTTTGAAATGAATAAAGTATATTATTAAGAATCAGAATTTAAGAAAAACAAATTTAACCAATATTTATAAACATTAAATTATATGATCGATTGGTATAATTTAAACTCTCTTTACTACATTAAAAATATAAAAATAATATGATCAGTTTTATTTTTTATAAAATAAATATGTAATTGAAATAAATTAATCACTTTTTTTAATACTATACCTATATATAATATACAATTATGATGACTATTGAATTGGGAAACTGTATATACATATATATAAATATTAAACTGTAAATTTCTACGCACAATGTCATACGTGAATTTATTATTAATTTTTAAATGCAGTGAAAAAATATAGGTACTTATGGCGGTGGAATGTACTTTTTGTAAAATAAAAAGTTGCATTAGTATTCTATGAGCATAAAGCACTTAATTTCAAATTTCAAATTATTAACTTTATTAATATTTATATAATATCGTTAAAGTAACGTTAATATAAAATTTAAACTATAAGTAGTAAATACCTACATTAATTATTAAATAGACGTAAATTTAATGCATTAGATTTATTGCAAATTATGCTAGCACTAATACTTCAAAAATTAGCAAAATATACTTAAAATATTTAAATATACTAACATGAGTATTTTAAAATATTTTTAAAATGTATTTAATCAATTAAAAAATTAAAAAATAAAGTAGAAAGTATTGATAAAAAAAAAAAAATGAAAATATTTTAAACAAAATATCTATCAAAAATACTTAAAATTAAGATTGTCGTTATTGTTCTATATAATTTTATAATTTATTTTAACTTTTATAGTACTTTTTATGATGTTTTCAACATGGTAAAAGCATATAACGTAATATTTTTCTATCAAAATTATTATTCATCAAAAATTGTTATTGATAACAACAATTTAAAAATAATTTATTTTTAAAATAAAAGTTAAATTATTAAAGGATTTAAGTATAAAAAAAACTTTTAATCGCAATTGGCGGACTGTTTAAAAACTTTATGAATTATCTGTTGTTAAAAAATGAAAATATTATAGTATAGGAATGTTAGAAAAAGTTAAATAGTGTGACAAATTTTAAACAAACTTGATGAAGAATACTTCTACAAAGTAACGAAAAAAAATTGTGGGAATGTATTAAACAATAAATATACAGTCTTATTCATTACTTATTAGCTTTTAATAACATATGTTTAATTATTACGAATATTACTATGCAGAACTCCCAAAACGGTATAGATAAAAGTTACACCACAACAATAATTATTAAACTAAAACTAGTCATTGAAAATAATAACTTTGACGGCGAAAGTAAATTCAAATATTTTTATAAAATAATCGAATATATGATTATAGACATAATATTCCCACACATTTAACACAACGGTGTTTCACACGTAAGTAATAATTTTTAGGGTTATAGGCATAACAAGAAAAAAAATATTATGACATCAAACTGGATTCTCCAAATACGTACACTTAGTTTTCTCTCATCACCTATTTCAGCGTTGGCAGCAAAACACTATACAATTAATTATACACAAATGAATAAAACAACACAAATATATTATGATAATGCATTTTAATATTAAACAAAAAAAATTTCGGAAGAAAATTAAATATTTTACGTTTTGAAAGTTTCGAGTGTTTCGACCTCTGTAACTTCGTTTAAGGTAAGCCGAGTATTTGGAGGATTTCAAGAATCTTTCACTTTTAAAAATAATAATTGGCACAACAAACAAGAACTGAAAATAGCCAGTATGACTACATATCAATATATAGTTAAATTAAAAATAAAATAAAAATCGAAATTTTATTTCAACGACTGGTTTTTGTAAATAAACATATTTTATCAAAATTATATTATTATCAATATTATTTTAAGGACTAACTAATAAATATATAAACTTAATGTATGTTTAAAAATATTAAATACATTATGTAAATAATGAATACCTACATTATTTTGAATAATTAATTAACTTATTCAATATCATTAATGCATATATGTATTATATATTTACATAATAATAAATCTATAAATTTAAAATAATATTTTAATATTATTTATTATAATGTTATAATTACAGTGCCGGCCCTAGGGAGAGGAAGTGGTACGACGGCATCGGGCCCCGCGCTTTTGGGGGGCCTACAAATTATGTAATATGAATACAATATGTTTATTTATATGATCTATAAATAAACATAATAATATTATTCTAGCAGTACGCGAATTATATATAATAGCTATACAGTTACACGCATGCATTTGTAAAATTGTTTATCTTCGATGACGATCGATGACAGTACAAAATTATAAAAAAAATAAAGTAAGTCCCTAAGAAAAAATAAATAAATACAGATATTTAAAAATAATTAGTAAATAAATATATATATGGGGCCCCGCAAAATTCTACACCGGGCCCTGAAAACCATCGGACGGCCACTGAATAATTATAAATAAAAAAACTGCTTAATAGTATTGTAAATTTATCAAAATAAAAATTATATATTTTAAATACTTTTTACTTACAAAAAATTAGTTTAAACATTTTTATAACTTTTTTTTTTCAAAGACGAAAATAATAATCCTAAAAACAATTTAACTAAATATTATATTCTAAGTATAAAATTAGAATAAATATTAAAATAATTGTTTTGTTTCTACAAAATATAAATAGCATAATATCATTTTACTCATACGTACATATACATGCACTAAATGACGTAAATTCCGTTATTAAGTACTCTAAAAAGAAATATAATTTATTTAAATTTCACCTTCATATGGCCCGATGGCCTTTGCCAGGATCTACCTACATAATACATACAATACACACTACGCACATGTAATATACTTATATATGTATATATTGTATATGTTATATATATATATATTTATAATAATATAATAAGTTATCATGAAAAACGAGCTTATTCGTTAGATTTAAATTATAAATCATAACAACAACATTGTGTTACTTCCCCTCCAACTCGGAAATTACTCTACAATACGCTTTTATTTGAGACAGTTGGCTCTGATTGACCTCGTACATACATACAGGTTTTTAACATTTGAGCCGAGACAAAATTGAATTACAAAACACGTCTTCTTTTATATTGTATAGAATCCAGTACATTTTAAGGTTTTTACTATTGAAAATCAAGCTATTAATATTCAGCTTGTTGATTAAGCGTTAATGCTTAAAAAATATGTATTCAATTTTTTATAATACAATAGAATAATCAAAAAAACATTTTTTTTTTTTTTTTTTTAAATATTAAATAGGTGTATATTTATTCAAATATTATATTTAGATTTCAATAAAACGAAATATTATTATAATAGGTAATTACTAATTAATAGTAATGTATATACTATATTGCATTTAATATATTGAAATAAAAAACAGAAAGAGATTATATTTCTATTGATTTATCAAATTAATAAATTAATTATTAATTCAATTAGTAAATTTGTGTACATTTTTTATATTTACTCGATTCAAATATTTAAAATTATCAAGAAAAACTACGCAAAAATATAGAACATTATACTTATTACGGCTTAATATTTTCTCAGATGTCTTACTTTTATATTACTATAAATTTTTATGAAACATTATCAAGTTATGACAAAATTATATTGAAAACATATC